CCAGGACACTCACCGTCAGACGGGCTGCCACCACAACAATCCCCCTGGCCTCCAGCACCACTGTGAGGAATCTTGGAGTTATCTTTGATCAGGACATGTCGTTTAAGTCTCACATTAAGCAAATTTCAAGGAACGCCTTTTTTCACCTACATAATATTGCAAAAATCAGGAACATCCTGTGTAAAAATGATGCAGAAAAACTAGTCCATGCATTTGTTACTTCTAGGCTGGATTACTGCAATTCCTTATTATCAGGCTGCTCTAAAAATTCCATTAAGATTCTTCAGCTGATCCAGAATGCTGCAGTACGTGTTCTGACAGGAACCAGGAAAAGAGATCACATTTCTCCTGTTTTAGCTTCTCTGCATTGGCTTCCAGTAAAATCCAGAATAGAATTTAAAATCATTCTTCTTACCTACAAAGCTCTTAATGGTCAGGCACCATCTTATCTTAAAGAGCTCATAGTACCTTACTACCCCACCAGAGCACTGCGCTCCCAGAATGCAGGGTTACTTGTGGTTCCTAGAGTCTCCAAAAGTAGACTAGGAGCCAGAGCGTTCAGCTATCAAGCTCCTCTCCTGTGGAACCAGGTTCCAGTTTGGGTTCAGGAGGCAGACACCATCTCCACATTTAAGAGTAGGCTTAAGACTTTCCTCTTTGATAAAGCTTATAGTTAGGGCTGGCTCAGGTGACTCCTGAACCATCCCTTAGTTATGCTGCTATAGGCCTAGACTGCCGGGGGATTTCCCATGATGCACTGAGCTCCTCTCTCCTCTACTTTCTCTCCCTCTGTATGCAACCTCATCCCATTATTGCATGTTACTAACACAACTTCTCCCCTTTCTGGTAGCCTTGTGCTTTCTCGTCCCTCTCCTCTCTCCTCCTAACATTTCCTGCAGGTGTTTCTGGCTCTGGAGCTGTGGAGTCTGGATCTGTGGCTGCGGGTCACCTGCTGCCCCCTTGTTCCTGCTCGACACCCTCTGCTGCAATGACTATTGTTACTAGTCCTATTATTATTATTATTGTTATTATAATGATTAACATTACGATTGTTATCATTAACACTACTATAAATATCTATACCATTTTTCATTTAGTCTATAGATCACCTTTACTGTCTGTACCTCTGTGTGTGTATATTGTGTAGGCTGCCTCCCTTCCCTCTCTCTCCTTCCATCCCTTTCTTTTTCTCTCTGTTCCTCTCCTGCCCTCTCTCTCTCTCGCTCTCTCTCTCCCCCCCTCTCTCTCTCTCCCTCTCTCTCCTTCACCCCAACCGGTCGAGGCAGATAGCCGTCCACCCTGAGCCATGGTTCTGCTCGAGGTTTCTGCCTCTTAAAAGGAAGTTTTTCCTTGCCTCTGTCTCCTAGTGCTTGCTCTTGGTGGGAACTGTTGGGCTTCTGTAAATAACATCATAGAGTATGGTCTAGACCTGCTCTTTTATGAAAAGCGCTGTGAGATAATTGTTGTTGTGATTTGGCGCTATATAAATAAAACTGAATTGAACTGAATTGAATTGAATTTCTGCTTGCTGATAATTTGGTTTGGTCTGCTTGAGTTGGTTTTGCTGTCCTGAGGCTGTTGGGGACTTGTTACTGCAGAGAGCCTCAGGACCAGCTGGTTGAGGGGACTCTAGTTTCAGCTCCTGGTATGTTAGGGCTTTGTGATGGTATGTCTGGGGGTTAACTGATTTTAAGTGATTGTAAAATTTAAGTGATCCTTTCTGTATTTTTAGTAGGAGGGGGTATTGGCCGAGCTCTGCTCTGCACAGGTTATTTGGTGTTTTTCTCTGCACCTGCAGGATGCTCTTACAGAACTCAGTATGGAAAGATTCTGTGATTGTTTTGTCCCATTTGTCAAAGTCATTATTAAGTTTTGGCCCTCAGATTTCACTACCATATAGAATTATTGGTTGTAGTACAAATTGGAAAATTTTAAGCCAGATTTCAATTGGAATATAGATTTTAATGTTTCTTTTTATTGCATAGAAATCTCTCCTTGCTTTGTCCCTCAGCTCTTTCACAGCCATGTTGAAGTTTCCTGTGTATGTAATGTTGAGGCCAAGGTAAGTGTAGTTTTTTGTGTGTTGTAATTTTGTGCTGTCAAAATAGAAATTGTGTGTAACCTGATTTCTGTATTGTTTCTGAAAGATCATTATCTTAGTCTTTGCTGTGTTTACTGTCAGGGCCCATGTCTGACAGAATCTCTGAAGGAGATTAAGTTGCTGCTGCAAACCTTCTTTAGTAGGTGAGAGCAACACTAAGTCATCTGCATACAGCAGACCTCTGATCTCTGTGTCGTTCAGGAGGAGGCCAGGTGCCGTGGAACTCTCTAATTGGTTTGCTAATTCATTGATATATAGATTGAAGAGAATTGGACTGAGATTGCATCCCTGCCTCACTCCCCCACCCTGGGAGAAGAACGCTGTTTGTTTGTTTCCAATTTTTATGGTACTTTCACTTTTTGTATACATGTTCTTAATCAAATGATATGTTTTTCCTCCAATGCCACTTTCAAGTAGCCTATAGAAAAGGCCCTCGTGCCAGATGGAATCAAAGGCTTTTTGGAAGTCAACAAAACAGGCATATACCTTTCTTTTCTTAATGTTTAATTCTTGATAAATTAGAGTCTGGAGAGTAAATATATGGTCTGTTGTGCGGCAATTTGGCATTCATGCAGAATATTGTGGTTATCAATTATTATTATTATATATATTATTATAAAAAGTTGACAAATCGTTTATTAATGATGTTGCAGAATATCTTTTCCAGGTTACTGGATACACATATTCCTCTGTATTTATTTGGGTCATATTTATCTCCGGATTAATGAATTGGGGTTATTAAAACTTTGTACTACCTATATTGTTGATGCTTTTAATCTGAAAAGTGAAACCGGTAGTAGAAGCAGCTAACGGAAATAGCTGCGTTATTTAGTTTGGACAGGATGTTAAGACATAAACCGTATGATTCTTTGTGGAAGGAGGGATTGATGATTAAAATTTTTGACTTGGGAGTTAGGGGACGAATGTTTAATTGGATAACGGATTTTTTAATGAAAAGAACAATGCAAGTAAAGGTTGGTAGTATTAGTTCAAAGACTGCGGGCATAGAGAATGGAACCCCACAGGGAAGTGTAATTAGTCCAGTGTTATTTAATATAATGATTAATGATATCTTTGGTAAAGTAGAAAGAGGATTCGGGTTATCTTTATTTGCAGATGACGGGGCCATTTGGAAAAGAGGGCGTAATGTAGAGTTTGTTTTAAAACAGATTCAAAGAGTGTTAGTGTCTGTAGAGGAATGGGGGAATACATGGGGCTTTAAAATCTCTGCTTCTAAGACTAAATATATAGTATTTGGATTTAAAAGAAAGTTACCTAATCTAGGGCTATATATGTATGGGTCTCCATTGGAGAAGGTAAAGGTTTTTAAATTTTTAGGTGTTTGGTTTGAAGAGCGTATGACTTGGGCTGTGCATGTAGATAAAATTGTGTTGAAGTGTGAAAAAGTTCTGAATGTAATGAGAAGTCTGGCTGGGTGTGAGTGGGGGGCTAATAGGGAGACGATGCTACTAATTTTTCAGGCCATGATTAGATCTGCTCTAGATTATGGGAGCTTTGTGTATGGATCTGCTTCCAAAACTGTTCTGGATAGGTTAGATGTGGTGCAGGCAAGGGCTTTGAGGCTTTGCAGTGGGGCCTTTAGAACCTCCCCAGTCCCTGCCCTACTCATTGAAATGGGAGAAATGCCCTTATGGTTAAGACGCATTAAGTTAGGGTTACAATACTGGGTAAAACTTAGTGGGTGTAATCGTACCTTCCCAGCAAGGTGTCTGTTGCAAGAGGTTGCAGGAGCTAATAGATACAAAACATTTTTTGACATAGTAAATCAGTGGGCAGGTAAGATGTGCATGGATCAGGGAGGTACTGTAGAGCATATAAGTTGGTCACCAATACCATATTGGGTGCTGCCTGAAATAAATATCGAGCTTGGTTTTCTTCAGGGAAAAGATAAGTGGGAAGTGGCACCAAAAATAGAGGAATATCTTAATTCAATTAGTGGGAGCACAATGATTGTTTATACAGATGGATCTAGAGATCCAGTTAGTGGGAGAGCTGGATTTGGGGTGTATGTGGAGAAGTTAGGGTTGGAAATTGGTCAGCGTATATCTAATGGAAGCTCTGTCCTCACTGCTGAATTAATGGCAATTTTATGGGCTATATGGTGGATTGAGGAAGTCAAACCTAGAGAAGTCATTATCTGCTCTGATTTTACAGGTGCTCTAGAAAATTTGAAAGTAGGAAAATCTAAAGCCCAACCTGACATTGTAAATGACATCTTGAATGTGGTTTTTAGAACTAGGTTTATTTGCAACATCAGTTTCTGCTGGGTTCCCGGGCATGTTGGGGTGAGGGGGGAACGAACGAGTGGATAATATTGCAAAAGAGAGCTTAGGAAGAGAAGTAGATGTCCATGTATTATTAGGGAGAGTGGAATTGAGAGAAAGAATTAAAGAGGGCTTTATAAAAGAATGGCAGAGAGGGTGGGAAAACGAAATTAGAGGGAGACACTACTTTTCTATACAACCCAAAGTTAGGAAGAGATGTTTATGTAACATTTTGTCCCGCAGGGACTCAGTTAAAATGTGCAGATTGAGGTTGGGGCACTGTGGATTAAATTATTCTTTTTGCATTGTAGGGAAGCATGTTTCTGGCTTGTGTGAATGCGGGAGTCTTGAGGCAATAGGGCATGTTTTCCTGGAATGCAGAAAGTATAAGGCAGAAAGAAATGTACTCTTTAATAAACTGTCAGGACTTGGAGTTAAGGCTTTTTCTGTTTTAGCTTTGTTTGGGCACAGTGACGAGCATAAACTGATCTCCAAGGCAGTCCTTCATTCTTGCATGACACAGGACTGTATGTAAGAATTTAGTTCAAACTTTGACCTGTGGAGGGCAGTAATACGCTCATAAGCGTCTACACTGCCGGAATCGAAGAAGAAGAAGAAGAAGAAGAAGAAGAAGAAGACATAAACGGGACAAAAGAGCAGCCGTTCGTGTAACTGTTTGTTTAATGAATGGACAACAAGCTGCCTTTGTCACTTGGAACTAATAGCTGGTTTCAATATTTTATATTGCACGCTACCAGCTGGTAAGAGACAGCTGTGTTTACATTTGTTAGTATTTATTTATTTAGCAGCTAATAGAGTGCTAGCCTTTAAACACTCACGTTTACGTAACGTTAGGTAACTATATTACAAACTTTAGATTAGAGATGTGTGAATGGGATTTGTATAATGTTTCTTTATGTTTTCCTTTTAAATTTCTTGTGTAAATATGTATTAATTCACTTATTTGACTTTAGTACATTAAAATTAAATTAAAATGAGTAAATGAATGTAGCTAACTAGCTAATTAAGTTACACTTGGACTGTGAATACAATACAGGGCGGGTGTGCAGTCCCAATGCTTGGCATGTCTTATCATCGAATCGGTCAGTCTAATGTAATACATATGACACGCCTTGATTACCTGGCTGATTCCATGACACTTTTTCCAGTTCCGCGGCGATATTTTTTGACTGGTTTGGCTGGAGAACTCGACTCCAGGTGAACTCCTTGTAGTCAGTAGCATCTGTGTTCCAGGTTTTTCAGTGAATAGTGATGGAGTTGTGGCAGAGGGACAGGCTGTCAGAGCTGGTGGAGGAGCTGACAACATCAGGACAACCGCAGCTCAACCAGGACAAGCTGAAGGAGATCAAGAAGATCTGCAAGTATGTCACTAACTGATGGCCATAAGCCTACCCATCTCAGGATCACTCATAAGTAACTGTACCATCATTTATTTAAAATATATTTGGTAGTATCACTAAAGACCAAGATCAACAACACAATGTGCCCCATGGTCTCTGAAACACTGTACCACACATTAACCCTGCAGTTATTTATTTATTTATTTTTTTAAACCCAGATTCCGCCATCAAAAGGGAGTTAAGTGGACACACTTCACTTTCAAATTGACCAGTCTAGTCTTTCGTTTGACTTAAAACATGCAAATTGTCAGCACTCAGTGGCAGAAAGTGTACAAAGCACTTGAAAACAAAATGATATACAGTTTAAGCTGCTATTGTCTGATATTTTGCATCACCATTACTAATTAGGTCTGCAAATATTTTGATGGTGTAAGATTTTGGACATATGATAGTAAAGAGTTCACAGGATTATAAGAATGCGGATAAGATAAATGCTTTAAAAATATGTATATATTGTTAAATGGATTTGACTGAAAAATCACTACTAAGTATTCCCTCGGTGCCTGTCGCTCCTCCCAGAGTGTCTAATGACTGCATAGACCACGTGTACCACTCAGTGATGTCCCAGCTCAACCAAGAACATGCAGAGGTCCGACTGTCTGCCTTTCAGATCGCCAGTGAGCTCTTCTCCAGATCACACCACTTCAGAACCCTGTTGGTGGACAACTTTCAGGTACTGGTATCATAGTAGACTGACTTCGGGTATTAATTTATTTTACACTACAACACTAAAGTGTAGTGATTAATACATATCTGATCAGAGAAAGAGAGCATAGTCATAATGTTTTTCCCATGTCATTGTAACCTGTCAGTTTATCATACTCTATGCAAGGTCTTATGGAAATAAAGGTATGTCTGAACAAGCTCTGTGGAACCCGGACACTAAATACTGTATGGTTCTGTCAGGAACGAGAATGTTGGTCAGCTTTTGGAAATATATCTTCAAGTACGTCGTGTGTCCTCTCAATCCTCCCCGTCCTGCAGGAGTTCTTGGAGTTGACAGTAGAGACTGACTCAGAGCAGCCCCTCCCCCCTCCTAAAGATATAGCCAGGAAGCTGAGGTCCCTTGCCATCCAGACTGTCCAGTCATGGCAGACCTCTTATGGGACTGCTTATAAGAAGTTAGCACTGGGTTACCACTTTCTCAAACAGGTTAAGAAGGTAAGAGGGATATAAAAACTGTCTTTTTTTTCTTTTGCTATTGCATGAAAAAGTGTCCAGTGCTTCATGTTAGCTAATGATAAATACCCAAACACTTCAAAATCTGCTCTGAATTGCATGATTCAGAGCCACTATAATGTAAAAAGCTGCATGCCTATTAAAGTGTGTCACATTGTTACTGTGGATCAGATGAGTATCATAACAACACTACATAGTTTATATCCCTGTACAGTTCTTTTCAAATGTTAAGAAATAGATAAAGCACCATTCATGCCTCTGACTTGTGAGGAGATGTGACTAGAGTAGCATCTACACAGACATCTAAAATTAATTGGTCGTGCAGACTCATATTTTACACAAGGCTAAGAGTCTACTGCCATGCTAGCGGCTGTGTGCGGCTCTACATAGGCACAGTGGTGCTTTGAGCTAATTGCCAAAATTAGGATGCTAACATGCTTATGTTAAGTGTGTGTAATGGGTTCCTTTCATGTCTTAGCTCCTCCCAGCAATGAGGCAAGAGAGAGATGTGAGGACGGAGGAACTGTATTTACCAAACCTCAAATGTGTAGCAATGTCCCATCAACAGTCTAAAATAAATCCCTGTCCATGCGGTCAGGTGGACTTCCAGGATGCTGAGGCCAGGACGGTAGCTGAGAGGAGGAGGGAGGAGGAGAGACAGAGGAGAATGGAGAGGATCTACAAGGAGAGAGTGGAGGCAGCCTCCAAAGACATGGAGGGTAAACACCACATCATCCAACAACACTACTTCTAGTGATTTTTAAAAAACAACAACAATAATACATTTTATGGGACTGGACCAAATATTCAGTGTTTGTTTCTGAATGACAATCCAACATACTTGTACTGTAATCCCATGTAGTCCTGCTGAGACCTAGAATGAATGTTCTTTTGTGTCGCATGTTTCCAAAGGAAGCAAATATTTAGTATTTTTATCATTCTAATCTCATTAATTAAAATTACTTATTAGTTTTGTTTTTTGGCTTGCATAGAATTGTTTGACTCAAACAAAAACTGGTATTTAAATATCTTTTTAAATAAGATTCTTACTCTCCTACAAAACACCAAAACATGCTGTTAGTGTTTAAGTGTTGCATATAATTTCTTTGTTAGAGTCATACCAGGAAATGGAGGCAACGCTGATAGAGATGGACTCCTGTATGAGGCTGCTTTTCCCTGAGTTTGACCTTGCAGACATCCAGACAACCATCAGCAGCCCTCCAAACTCCCAACCAGCCAATGAATATCCATCAATTGATGAACAGCCTTGTTGCAGCAAAGACCTAAGGAATGACAGGAGAGAAGGGATGATACAAGAGGAGGTCAGCAGGGAAGAAGAGAACAGCAATGTGGAGGGAAAGAGAGGAAAGGAAGACAAAGGAATGACAGAGGAGATGAGAAACAGCAGGAGGGAGGAGAAGAAAGGGAAGGAAAAGGAGAGGTCTGGCGATGAGGAGGGGGAGGATAAAGAGAGGAGGGATGGAAATGAGCAGGTGGAGAAGAAGGGAGAGGAGGTAGAAGATAGGGAACAAAAGAAGCTAGATATGAAGGAAGCGCAGAGTAAGGGAGAGGAGGAGGAAGACGAGGATGGAAGTGGTGATGAAGAAGAGGAGGAACCTCTTTGTGAAGACTTGTTTATTCGGAACTCTGGGCTCATCTCTCACTCCTACAGTCTGGACCTGAACCTCATTCCTGGTAGGTACAACTCAACAAGGTACATGTGAAATGCCTGAAAGCGCACCCACATCTTAGAATGCTAAATATGTAATACAACAAATCCTAGAATGTTGACTTTCTGTTGACAGAGCCCTACAGGTGTTGATTTAATGTGGGAATGCAAAAAATATATAGACAAATTTCAGTATAATGTACTACAGTCCAGCAGTAAATAGTTCCACATTTTCCAGGGTAGGCGTAAATCATTCAGTGTCACAGAATTATATTCACTGATGGTCCCAAAGCATCGTTCATTAATTGCATGTCATTTTGGAACACAGTAATCAAGTAGAGGCAGGTGGAACTCTGTCTTTGATCGTTGATTGGCCGCTTGCCTTAGTTATGACTTTACGTCCAAACTACAGTAGTTAGGTTCTGATCCAAGTAATCATCATGCGACCAATTTTAGTAGCTGCGCGCACACAGTCACTCAGACCCGGCGACGACGTGACGCTAGGACAGGTCTGACCGGAGCGAATATTGGAGTGGCTTTCAACGATGCCGACAACTGGGGGACCCCAAGGGACATCATGCTTTATTTGTGCTGACTGGTAATCTGGCTTTTTTCATTTTGATGGTAATTTGTCACTTTCATGAAGTATGTATCGCTTGCCAACATAGGTACTTTCTTAGCATACAGCTAACGGTAACTACAGCTGTGAAGGTGTAGGCTGGTGTATTGAGCAAGAGCTGATGAATTATCAGTAGCAGCAGCTGAGTTTTAAAACAGCAGTGCCGCTGTCTTGGAGAAGTTAGCCAGCGCTAACATTAGGTAAGACAATGTAGGTGTAGACTGCGCCGGAGAGCTATTTATAACTTAAACAAACATCTCTGCTTATACCTAGCGTTGCCTTGTATCTAATCTGTTTGTGCATTTCCTATCTTATGTCTGCAAGCATTGTTTGACTGAATGTTACTCTGTTATATCTTTGAACAAGACATTTTACAAATATAATGATGAAGCTTATTTGTGTGTTTTTGTAGTTATGAGAAGGACACATCAACATTAGTGTACATAAATAATGCTGGCTAAAGGTCCCCAAGTATCTGCGTTTGTGGTATATAAGCTACTTATTATATAGTTTGACATTATATATACTGTAGCTAAACCTACTGTGTGAAAACACTAATACTGTAAATGGTTCTGCTTTGCCACGAATTATAAAATCAGAAGGGAAAAATTACTGTGCATTTTATTTCTACTGTGCCCTCAGGTCACCTGCAGATTTGGAGGTTCCAAAACCCTGTACTTCTCACCAGTGTATGCTGATCGGACCGAGCTGGCTGGCCTGGATTACAACCACCGTGTCTACAGACCAGCCGGAGGAAAGCTGATGACACAGTTCAGTATGTTGCATTATTAGTACTCCTATGCATTTTACTCAATACATTTATAAGTGATGAGTCAAAAACGATTCAACAGTATGAGGAATACAGAATGATGGTGCTGATTTATTGTTTTGGTTGCATTTTATGTGGAAATGCTAACTACTCTATAAGAGAACAATGTCAGGTTTTACAAACTTTTCACTAAGCTGATACTCCTTTCTGTATTACCAGATATGGCAAGGTGTGCAACAAAAAGTCTAGAAAGTGGAGCTTGTACTCATTGAAAGTGGAGAAGGACTACAGTTACATCGCAGACCTCCAGAGTGCCATCCTCCTCCCCGTCAACATGTGTCCCTGCCCAAACTGTATTGCTAGGGACAGCAAGGTGATAACAAAAGTAATGTAATTGGTTTTGAAATGTGGTACTCATGTCAGAGAGGTGATCTCCACAGCAACGATACGATGCTATGTGTAAAGTCTGAACTGTCTTCGTAATCAGTTAAGATACCTCTGAACACACCTTGTCTTTCTTCCTGTATATACTTATTTCAATAATGAAACTACAACCTATATCACAAATAGATCATTTATAGTTTTAGTAGTATAATAATAAACAATAAACAAGTGTTATACCACATTTGTTTGTCATTATTTAAGACATAAGAAATAAATGTAGTTGCTTGATTGTTTATGCTGCAAGTGTAAAGAAAAGACATTTATCATTTTCAATGTTTTATTTAAAAAAGAATAAAAATATTAAGGAAAAAATATACTTTGTATTTTCTCTACGCTCCTGGGAAGAAAACAAAAACATTGTACAGGTATTTATCCACACAGTGGATGGGATCATTTGCATATCTGTTAGTGACATTACATCTTACTACCCTCTGTATTGTCCTAGTGGATCAGAAGAACGGTCAGATTTCTTCCAGACAGTAACTCGGTATCAGGACTCTGTGTCCAAGTGCTCCACACTGCCACACTACAAACTGTCTGTATGCTGCCTGACTGAACTGCCTGTTACTCTGTCCTGGGTCTGGAAGATCAGCCATGTATGGTGCATGGAAACACAGTAGTCTGGATGTTGTCCACAGTCCTCAGATTCTGGTCTGTAAAGGAATATATAGTTGTTAGAACCCCAAATTGGAAAGATTGGTGTAACTGGAAAGAACATTCATCAACAAGATCAGATATTTTATTGAACTGGGCTTTGTTGTTCTCTAACAGGACTTCTGAGTCCACTTTACCCACCAGGTCAATCTACATAACACAGATGAGCCAATAGCTGAAGCAGAGCTGTAGGTAGCGGTGGTGTAATCAGTAAACAATAATAAAAACATCATAACAATAGTGATGGATTACATTTATATAGCACTTTATTTTTTCAATTTTATTTATATAGCACCAAATCACAACAACTGTACAAGACGCCCCATAGCGTCTTATAGAGATGCATCCGGAAGCTTCTCTATGAGACGCTGAAGGGTATCTTTGGCGTCAAATAACTACGTTTTGTCACTTTTTGGTACAAGTGTTGGTATTGGACGTCCTGAGATGAGAACGGTCTGGTATTATACATGTGTGCCTTTGGCTGGCCACAATAAAAGGCCACTCGTAAATGTGCAGTTCCATCACACAGCACAATGCAACAGATACCTCAAGTTTTGAGGGATCGTGCAATTGGCATGCTGACTGCAGAAATGTCCACCAGAGCTGTTGCCCGTGAATTGAATGTTCATTTCTCTACCATGAGCCGTCTCTAAAGGTGTTTCACAGAATTTGGCAGTACATCCAACCGGCCTCACAATCGCAGACCACGAGTAACCACACCAGCCTAGCATTTTCACCTCCAAGATCGTCTGAGACCAGCCACCCAGACAGCTGCTGCAACAGTTGGTTTGCATAACCAAAGAATTTCTGCACAAACTTTCAGGAACGGTCTCAGGGAAGCTCATCTGCATGCTCATCGTCCTCATCAGGGTCTCGACCTGACTGCAGTTTGTCGTCACATTTGATCCCGGTTATCACTGTATAGGGCAGATGGCAGACAGCGACACCAGATAATGACTGGTTTCCGGACCTCCCTCATTTTCGAGTGGCCTTTTATTGTGACCAGCCTAAGGCACACCTGTGCAATACACATGCTGTCCACCTGTGAGGTGGATGGATTATCTTGGCAAATAGAGAAGTGCTCTGTTGCCTATAGCAGCAGGAACAAAAGATTTTTTGTGTCTCTCCTGCATTTAGCCAGACGGCAACAACATGAAGCAGCTGTTAAGGGGGTGACTTGGGTCGGCCAGGACTGACTGTGCCTTCTTAAGGGTCCTTGTCTCATATAAGGAATTTAAATCAGTCCGAGGGTTGTGGGCAATTTTGCCACACACCTTTACTATATATTGTAGCCTGTTTTTGTTGTTAAGAGTGAGGGACCCAAACCAGCTCACAACCTCCCCAATATCAACATGCTAGCTTGATAGTGAGCACTAACAGCCGGGTTAGTTGTTCATTGTCATAATGGTAAAGTTAGGTGTTTTCTTACCCGTGATTCAGACACGTTGTGAGTGGCACCAGTGTGTAAACTATATGTGTTCTGCAATTATTTACTTGACATGAAATATTTGTATTTGTATGTATCAGTCTTTCTTTTCTTTACCTTCTCTCTTACAGGGCTTCATGTTAAGGAGACAGAGGATAATGAGGCAGTGGTTTCCACGGTGATAGACCTCCATAGACTGATAAAAACCAAACACCTACCAGCTGTGCAGGGCTGGGTTCAGGTTGGTACAAACACACAGGGCTCACATATGACATCCACAGGGTTCCCAGGCGTCCTGGTAAACAGTTGTCCAATTTTCCAGTCATGGAAAACACCTGGCAAATGAGAGAAAAAGTAAAATGTCCTGGAAAATCTTGTATTGTCTGGGAAAATTATTTTTTAGCAAATGTCTGATGAAATTACTGTTATTCCCCTCCCGCCGCGCGGCCACACGTGGGAGAGGATAACAAACAGCAGCAGCTGCTGAGCCATTCATCATAAACTTTGGCTTTAAAACCTCATACAACAAGACCCAAACAAAGAAGTGCTGAACACAAAATAGGTTAGTAACCTCATGTAATGTTAAAGTTTTATTTAGTTAACGTAACACTGGATTTGAGAGTCTGCGTATGTTGACTTACAGTAGGCTAGTTAGTAAGCTGTCATTAATGGCATTGCACATTACATGGTTGTGCTCTGTTATTTACATTTATTCATTTAACTGACGCTTTTATCCAAAGCAACTTACAATTGCTATACATGTCAGAGGTTGCACGCCGCTGGAGCAACTAGGGGTTAAGTGTCTTGCTCAGGGACACACTGGTGGATATCTCACAGTGGGAATTGAACCTGGGTCTCCAAAGGCAAGCATCTTATCTATGCGCCATCACCACCCCAGGTTATAGTTACAGAATTCCTAATAGCTATGCAGTTTTCTAAGCCTGGTTGAGACTTGACTTGGACTCTAGCGCCCCAGATCCAGCTCATATATTTCAGCATTGATAATTTCTATAAGTAGGCTTGTGTTAAAATATCATCACATCTCGTTCTTGTGACACCAATATTGTGACCTCACCACTTTTCAACACAAAGTGCTGCCTTTGCGTGTCGATATCTTTCTTATTGCAGTAGCCAAATCCACGTTCTTTATAAAACATGTAAACTTAAAACAGACCCCTCTTACACTGTCTGTGACATTAATTCAAGTGACCAAAACTCTGAATAATGTACATTGCCTTATCCTCCAAAGGTCAATATTAGTCACCGATTTCTGGTAATTGTAGTAGTTTTTATGAGGTTTTCACAGTTATCTCAGAGCGCTTTTCATAAGAGAGCAGGTCTAGACCATACTCTGTGATGATATTTATAGAAACCCAACAGTTCCCACCAAGAGCAGCACTAGGCGACAGAGGCAAGGAAAAACTTCCTTTTAAGAGGCAGAAACCCCGAGCAGAACCATGGCTCAGGGTGGGCGGCCATCTGCCTTGACCGGTTGGGGTTGAGAGAGAGAGAGAGAGAGGGAGAGAGAGGAGGGGTGAGGGGAGGGAGGCAGCTTAGACAATAGAGGGTATGCGCATGATGTCACAGAACGCAGTTAGGCTCACTGAGTGGCAGAAAGACGAGGAGCAGTATTAGCTTGAATCGGCTAAAACACAAACAGCACATCTAAAATGGGAAAGAGCTGGACCGCTGGTTCTTTGGTAAGCAGTAAGGATCACTGTTGAGTCGGACTACCTTTAATTTGAGCAAACAAGCAAATGGTAACAGATGTTTTGCCACTCAGTCCAGCTTGTTCTGGAAGGGGAAGTGACATCAACGCATACCCTCTATATACACACAGAGGTACAGACAGTAAAGGTGATGTTGCTATAGACTGAATGAATAATGGTACAGATATTTATAGTAGTGTTAATGGTAATAATCAAAATGTTAATGATTATAATAACAATAATAACAATAGGACTAGTAACAATAATTGTAGCAGAGGGTGTCGAGCAGGAACACGGGGGCAGCAGGTGACCCGCAGCCACAGATCCAGACTCCACAGCTCCAGAGCCAGAAAACCTGCAGGAAGTGATAGGAGAGAGGAGAGGGACGAGAAAGCACAAGACTACCAGAAAGGGGAGAAGTTGTGTTAGTAACATGCAATAATGGGATGAGGTTGCATACAGAGGGAGAGAAAGTAGAGGAGAGAGGAGCTCAGTGCATCATGGGAAATCCCCCGGCAGTCTAGGCCTATAGCAGCATAACTAAGGGATGGTTCAGGACTCACCTGAGCCAGCCCTAACTATAAGCTTTATCAAAGAGGAAAGTCTTAAGCCTACTCTTAAATGTGGAGATGGTGTCTGCCTCCTGAACCCAAACTGGAACCTGGTTCCACAGGAGAGGAGCTTGATAGCTGAACGCTCTGGCTCCTAGTCTACTTTTGGAGACTCTAGGAACCACAAGTAACCCTGCATTCTGGGAGCGCAGTGCTCTGGTGGGGTAGTAAGGTACTATGAGTTCTTTAAGATAAGATGGTGCCTGACCATTAAGAGCTTTGTAGGTAAGAAGAATGATTTTAAATTCTATTCTGGATTTTACAGGAAGCCAATGCAGAGAAGCTAAGACAGGAGAAATATGATCTCTTTTCCTGGTTCCTGTCAGAACACGTGCTGCAGCATTCTGGATCAGCTCAAGAGTCTTAATGGACTTTTTCGAGCAGCCTGAGCTGGTTGAATAATGTTAAATCAGTAAACTGCTGAACTTGAAGTGTTTGCTAGCTTGACGTTTGTGTTTCAGCTCTCGCTGGGAGCGATGGTTTCACATGGATTGGGTATTGTTGAAAGTCGAATGAGAATGAATCCTGGGTCAAAACAATGAATGGGACCACAGCTGGATGTGCATCAAACACCTGCTGAATACTGGCTGACAGCATTGTGTTTTTTACTACGTACAGTGTGCTAACCTCGACAGCCCAGCTCAGAGTGTGCACAGTCAAGAGAATTTACCCATTTTAGTAAAAAAGAAGATCAGAATGTGGCGGTTAATGTTGATATGGTGGCGGGATGCCACAAATAAATCAAAGCATGGGAAATACTGGACATGTAATACAAATAACATTTAAACATATGGATAGAAACTTATAAACTTATAAAAGATAAGAGGACAACCTACTATTTACTAGTGCCACCATCACTCCTTCTATTGTGTGTACTACTATAGGTGCTACTCCTGAATCCTGTTCAATTAAATACTACTAATGAATGCTTTGAAACAAACCATGTGCATCTTTCTATCGCATCTCATTTCACATTGCTTTGCATCTGTCCAACTATCTCAGTAACACGGTTTGTCTGTCTGTCTTTCTGTCTGTGTGGGTTGTAGGTTTTCACCAAGTCAGGTGCTGAGCAGCAGCTGCTAAGCAGAGCGCTGGATCTGAAGAGGTCTTTGGAAGCTGCCCTGCAGAAACACAAAGAGCTTCACATTGATTACAAGACCAGGGTCCACAAAGTAGTGAGTTACATACATAATATATTTTCACTTGTAGTTGAATGAAAAATGTGTCAAATAAAGGTAAAACACATGTGGTATCCCTCAGCTGACTGACTGAAACAGTTGAGTCGTTATATGTCAAATAAAAAGTAAGGGTTAGCTCATAATTCTTGTATTCTTATATACAGGTGGGTAATGATGTAGGGAAAACAAAGCTTTTTTGTAATAAACCGCTGACACACTTCTGTTTTACCCATGTTGACATTTACAAGCCAAAAGCAAACCCTGATGATGTAGTTTCTCCTAGTATAGAGCATGGCCAGCAGGTGGCAGCATCCTACTACAAATCATACTCCAGCGGTACAGATGTTCCATTTCCTGTGGAGTGATTCAGTTAGAAAGAAGAGCTACAGAGGCGAGATGTGTTGATAACTGGGTCCCTCTCGAAATGCGCAGTCTGTTGGTCAGCTCCCACAGGCCTGAGCAGGCACCACCATTCTGCATCAGCTCAGCCTGTGTTTTTATAAACCAGAAAAGCTAGCTACTAGCTTAACACGGAGAACAGCCAGGAGGTCAACCTGCTCTCAGTTGTCAAGGCCTTTTCGCCTCCACCCTCACCTACACATGCAGACTGTCTTTATAGTGGAACTGTGATTCTTAAACCAAAACACATATTGAAATAAGTTACTTTTGAAATGTTGCTTTGTATTTGAAGAGAGAGGTTTGGACCTTTTGAATGGAGTCCTATACAAGCAGAATTTTCTTCAGCATCTTGTGATTTCTATCTCTCAAAGGGCTGGCTATGTGCACACCTCCAAATTCATGTCTTGAATAATACCACTAGTAAATATTTGAAAATGTTCGTAGCAGGTTAAAAACAACATACAGTATTGACAGTAAAAGATCTGCAGCTTCGAATGCTTGGCACCACACAGCTGTGGTGCTTGGTGTTTAAGTGGAACCAGGCAGACGGTCTAGAAGATGGGCAGTTCACATTGAAGTCCACTTAAAGACTATTACTGAGCCGCCACAAGACATATCCTGAACTGTTGCCTGATTCCTGTTTCAGCAATGAACTGATAAAAAGAAAAAATCTACAAAATAGAAAATTAAATCCCATTGGAAGTTATTTTTGCTCTTTTATTTTTTGTGCTATACACCTCAAACTCACTGGCGACCTGTCCAGGGTGTACCCCGCCTTGCGCCTGATGTCAGCTGGGATTGGCTCCAGCCCCCCCCGCGACCCTGTATGCAGGATAAGCGGTTGATGATGGATGGATGGATGGACACCTCAAACTCATCCAAACATTATTGTTATTATTGTTCTTCATTCATTTGTATGGCTTTCAAAAGTGTCTTCTTCCTGTTTTCTTCTTTAAATGTCTCTCCTCCTTCTTGCGTTTCCGCGAGCTCCCAGAGGGAAATATCGTACTAGAGACAAGGGGAAGGGAGGATGGAAATATTAATAGTAAAGACATTTGGGAGAGGTGAGATAGCAAGGCACATCCATAATAAAAATGCATCAGAGAGAGGAAGAGAAGAAATTGGGTAGCAAGTGGGAGGATGTAGCCATTCATTCACTTCTCTACCTCTAATGTGCCCCATGGCTTGACAGCTGATATGTCTTTCTTGCTGCCTCTATATCTAGCTTAGCATCATCATTCTGCTGTTGTTTGAGTAGGCCAAAAATGGAGGTATCTAACCAGGCCGGTGTTGTTATAAAGCTTGTCATTTGGAACGCTTTTCAGTCAAATTACTTATTTGAAAGGGTTTAATTTGTGCTGAAGTCTGTGTTTTAGAGGTGGGATACTTGCTACGTACGTACAGCGCTGAGAATTAGATCAAATCCAATTAAGTCCAAGAGCAATGAATGCAAACTGCTGTATCCGTTTGGAGAAAAAGGCATAAAAGTTGTAGCATGTGAATCCATCTTTAGCTGAACAAAGCTGCAGAGTGACAGTGACAGAGCGCCAGGCGTCTCGCTCTGCCTGGTTATCACTGTCAGAGACCAGTCTGCTGCACCAGCAGGCCCAGCACTACGATAACCACACAACTTACAGCCCCTTTATCATAATTAGCTTTTCCTTTTTAGCCTTAAAAGGCCTTCCATTACTGGGTCCTTCTCTATCGGGCCGCTGACACACCACACGATTGGTTTCTCTCTCAGCGGGTCTCTCAGTATAGTCAGAGAGAGAGGGAGAGCGAGAGAGCACACTTGAGCACTGTATGACGGGTGAGGTGGAGACAGAGACACATTTTCTCCTGAAATGTGATAAATATAGCAAAATAAGAGAGCAATATTTTGAGAAATTCCATCTCTTTGTACCAGATTTTAAAGGAATAAATTTAAATTTTACATGAAATTTAAAGAATCATCCTAGGAGAAGGGCATATGGCAAACCTTGGCCCAGGATGAGGCCAACATGAGGACAGTAGATTTCTTTAAATGACACCATCTAGTGGTTGTTCTAAGCTGTAGCTGTAAGGTTAGGGCCACACTAATACGTTTTCATTTTAATAAGACGTGGATGGAGGTTATTTGAAATGGTGCTACAACGCTCCTAGGTACGTTGTTATTTTAAAACGATCATCATTAAGGTGGCTGCTACACATTATTAAATATGAGGGTCTATATACATGTAATCCATTCTTATTCACGTACACTGGGTGTGCCAGTGCAAACAGGAAGCAGATTGTCTACTCAGCGGTAGGTTGCTTAGTTGAACAAAATACTACAAGTGAAGAACAGCAATGGCCAAATATAAACCCGAGATTTCTTTGCTTGGAGCGATGATGAGGTGGAACTGTTACTGAGGAGCAGGACTGGCCCTGATCCCCTCATGTGGGGCCTCTTGCCTCACATTAGCTCAATAGTGAGGCATACGTAGAACCAGCTACTGTATACAATTAGCCTTGTAGCAACATGATGAGCTGCAGTTCTTAACTATTAACTAAAAACACTCACTGAAACACTCAAAGTAAAACTGACACATCCAGTTTGAATTTATATTTATTTTTTTACAGTATTGTCTGTACATCTAGATAATAATTTGGCACAGTGTAAAAAGCAAAACAATACAACACAAATCACTCCCGTACACTATAAGCGTAATTGGCCAATGGCCATGAGGAGAACACTGCGTGCAAATGCATGATTCAAGGACCCATGCAAACCAAGTCCTTATTTGGTCAGACAGATGGGATGACCACAGAGCAGGATTGAGTAGGAGGTGTAGGTGAAGCAGAGTTCCCACAAACAGAAAATCAACAGTTAGAATTTGAGCTGAAAAATTAGTTGGGAAATCTTAAGTTACTTGTGTACACACAATAACATTTTCCAACAGAGATAAAGACAGTGGCAACAAAGAGGAAACTTACCAGCAGGATTACTGAAACCAGTCACAGCGGACAAAGAGGTGTCAGTTGTTTTATTCATTTTGAAGTCTGTTTAAACCATTACCTTGATTATTAATTTACCATTGCCAACATATAGTAAACTTAGCAGCAACATTAGCTGTCATGGTATCCTCTGTACCTGAACCAGGAATTACAGCAAATTTATCTTACAAGAAGACAACACAGTCAGTTGTGATTTAATTTAGTTTGACTTTTTTGACAGGGACATCAGCATTTCTGAAAACGAAAACACATTTTAGCTAGCGGCTATAAATCATTGTCAATAAGTTAATAAACAGCCTATTACAATATACATTTCAATGTTTAATGCTGTAAATAAACATGTAAAGAATAAAATTTTCAATAAATGTTTTTAAAGTGCGTAAATAAATCCAAAATTGTAACCCTAACCCTGGGTCGTCAGTGCGCATGTGTAGACGTAGCGTGTGTGTGTGTGTGTGTGTGTGTAGTGGCAGGAACACTTGCTGAAGAGTATGAGCCCCAGCTTCACTGTTTTTGTGCCGAGTTGTCCGAACCTCACGGGACTTTTGGATAATTTATCCACACAAAGAATATTTTATCGTTTTTAAATAGCCGGCTACTTAAAATAGACCCGCGAGGAACCGCGACGTGCACGCAGTTGTTGGCATCATGGAATGCATGCAAAACTCTGCACAAGACCAAGTCCTACTGTTCACTGTGAAAAGGCCTTACAGACAGCACGCTGTAGTCCACACCTGCAGCTAGCTAGCACCCACAAGTGTGAACAACTTTTTAAAAGTGTCTCACTTAATAAAGTGTTTTGTCACTAAACGATCATCTGGTCAATATAACATTACTTAATAATAATACATTTTATTTCTATAGCTCTTTTCAGGACACCTTACATTAGAACTTATGTACATTTAAAACAGATTAAAAACATAAATAGCAAAGTATAAAATAAATGAACAGTAGATAAAAACGTGGTGCGGAAATACATAAGAGCGAAGGGGGGACCATATAAATAACAAAATAACAAACAGCAGCAGGTGTAATATAACATTATTTGAGGTTAAAAGCTAGTCTAAAAAGGTGGGTTTTGATAAGTGATTTGAAAGAGTCCATGTCGCTGCAATCTCAGATGTGTATGGGTAAGGAGGTCCATAGGGAGGGGCTGCGATGGTGAAAGCTCTGTCGCCCCAGGTATGGTGCTTGTTCCTGATTTGTGGTGAGAGGATGTTAGTGTCAGAGGAGCGGAGGTTACAGGAGGGATTGTGGTGGTGGAGCAGGTCTGTGAGGTAGGAAGGGGCCTTGTTATGGAGGGCTTTATGTGTGAGGAGGAGGATTTTGTACTGAATGCGTTGGCGAACAGGGAGCCAGTGAAGATTCTGGCGGACAGGGGTGATGTGGTCACGAGTGCGTGTGAGGAGGCGGACAGCAGAGTTTTGGATATATTAATAATAATAATAATAAAAACTTTGATATAGCGCCTTTCACAAACCCAAGGACGCTTAACAAACAAAAAGGGAGGGGCGGGGTGAGAGGTGTGAGGCCAGGGGAGATTAAAGCCCATAGGCCTCAGTAATATATTGTTTATTTAGGGCTTTGGCAGGTGAACCATAGAGGACACTATTGCAGTCAAT